TTTTTTTGAAACAATCTATTATTCGCTCTCCCTATGCGTCAACCTATTCAGATGCTTTCATTCTGCTCCATTACGTTCTTATGGAAACTCTTATAGAATAACATAAAATTACTCTGCAAAGAAAATTTAACGCGAAGTTTTTGTAATATCATAACATTTACAATGCAAACTTCTCTTTTTCAATTCCTGTCCTCTTAAATAGGAGGTTTCTTATGCGTTTGATTTCTACCTTTCAAAACTTTATTTGAAATTCGTTAAGCAAATGCCAAGTAAGACTTAGAAACTCAAAACGCACCGTTACGCATTCATAACCAATCGACACCTCCTGAGCTCCTCCAAGACGTCCAACTGAGGAGTAGCATCTAAAATCAATCAGCCAGATAGTTGAGATTATAGAATTCTCCGTCAAAAAGTTAGATGATCATTGTCAAATGTGCCATTGTTGACGAAATTTTCTGTGTACATAAGACGGGAAGAAAGTCGAACTTCATGTGAGTTACGAGAAGAAAGATGTTTTGCCTGTGTGAGAAGTAATGCATAAGACGTATCAGCTTGAAATGCGAGCTAATATGGCGGGTTAGCCTTAGTAGAGATGCTATATTGTATATAAAAAAGAAGCCGAAATAAGCCTAATAAATCGTTCTACCAATCTTGAGTTACGGCTCAACGCTCACGAAGTATACGGATCTTATTTTCACAGAAGAGGGGAATCCATAGTGCGAGGTATTCTGATGTGAGTAGGGTTTATGCGTAAATCATTCAAAGGTAATCATCCTGTTCATTTCCGCATAAGTGGTTTTGATCCTGGAAAACTACTAACTTTAATTATCAAAATATAGCGAGTCTACCCCAAACCTTTAGAATTTTTGACCTTTTTCTATGTGCGCCTTTTTGGAACGCTAAGCCTTCTTTAGAAAAACAAACTGAACATAGCGTTCATGTTTATGAAGGAAAATGCCTATGAATTCATAGCAAAAAGCGATTGTTGTTTGTGTAATTTTTACGGCAACCCATAACATGAAAGTCATGACGTTTATGACTATTTGCCCATAAGTAATCATTTTCCAAAATTAAAAAGTGTTTCGAGCCTCCATATTTAAAATGTTCGGGAGCTTGTGAGATTCAACTCAACAATGTAGCTAACTTGTGTTCTCCTTAATAAAATCCGCTCCATACTATGTCTTCATTTACCTACGTTCACTGTAGGTTATTTGGGTTTGAAAGGGTACAAATGGATTCTTGTCTAAGTAATGCTTCTGCTGTCGA